ACAAAGAAAAATCAACCAAAAAAATGAGTTCGCGTGACACCTCTGACACGCATGTCATAGGTTCGCCATCACTGATCTACACAATGGATTAGATGATAGATGGTGCATCTACACAATGGAATACTATGCAGCTGTAAAAAAGGAACAAACAGTTCTTTGTGTATTTATTCGATAAGATCACGAAGGCTTATTGGTAGTGAGAAAAGCAGTGCAGGATCATGTATGTGGGATAGTATCACTTATGTAAAAGTGGGATGGAAAAGTATGTGCTTGTATGGACATAATATGTCTTTGAAAGGATAGATAAGAAACTGACCACACGGTTTGTCTGTGGGAAATAAACGGAATGAACTGAGAAACAGCAGGAGGAGGAAGACTTTTTGAAATTTAAAAATTAAAATAGAACTTATGTAGTCTTATGGTTCAAAAGGAGGCATATATCATGCAAGCGTTATGAATACAGTAAAAGGAGCCCCTGGGAGCCCTGATTTAGAAATAGAGCGTTATCATTGTTTTGAAGCCGCCACGTGCCTCTGCCTGGTCCCATCCCCCTCTTTTCCACTCTTCCTCCTATTTCTTTTCTAGTGCAAATGCATCCCTTTGATCTTTTCTGTAACTTCTATACAATTTTTCTCTGTTTTTTTCCCCTCCCCGTCTATCTTTATACACACACGTTTGTATATCCCCAACCCATCGTCACCTCTGGCGCCTTTCCCCAGATCAACCCCTAGAATCTGTCACCCCCGACAGGAGGGAGAAATGATGCCAGCACTGGAGCCAGTCCCCAAGGGAGAAGAGGAGGAGGAGAAGAAGGAGAAGGAGGAAGAGGAGGAGGAGGAGGAGGACGAGGAAAGTCTTGAGGAAGAGGAGGCAGGAAGTCTTGTGGAAGAGGAGGCGGCCTCCACTTCTCCCAGGCTCATCCACCCCAACGACGTCCTTAAGATTCTGGAGGCCTTTGTCAAGGGTCTGAAGAAGCCCAGGTGGGCTGTGGCGCGGAGGTCTTGCCTGCCTGGGGAAGCTGGCTGGGAGGCGGGGCCAGGCAGGTGCCAGTGAGTGGAGAAGAGGCTGCTGAGCAGGGACTTGGGGGAGCGAGGAAAGGGATGTCCGGAAGGAGGGCCGGAGGAATCAGTGGGCTCTATAACGGAAGAGCTGGGGCGTTGAAGCGATTTCATTCACCATGCGTTCATCCGTCTCCTCCTTTATTGGAGTCCGCTATGTGTAGGCCCCGTGGGAATAGCACCTCGTGATCGGAACGATTGTCAACGCATTTGCAGGTGTCACCTTGCTCAGAGGAGGATGTGGTCAACTCCATTGGGCGCGTCAGGGAGGGCGTTAGGAGAGGCTGGCCCTGGAACTGGGTTTTCTTAGCTGGGTAGAGTGGAGGATGTCACAGCCTGGGGAAAGGCCTGGTGGAGTCAGGAATCATAACGGGGAGGTATGGCTCGAGTGTCAGGGTCTGGTTAGAGGGCTGGTGGGTGGGAGATCTCGGAAAGCCTGCCTACTGTGCGCCCAAGACCTTGGTCTTCACCCTTGGGTGGACAGAGCTAGAAACAAACCTTCAGCAGCGGGGGAGCCGGGGTTAGACTTGCATTTTGGAAAGATCATTTTGGCGATGGGGAGGGGGTGATGTTGGCTACAAGGAGAACGATGGGCAGCTGGGAGGTGCTGTCCTGGATCAAGGCTATCCTAGAGGGGATGGAGAGGCCATGACAGCTTCTGAGAGCTATTTTGGAGGCGTTAGTGAGAGAAACGGGCACAGTAATGAGCTCAAAGCCAGTGAGGTAAACTGACTGAGAGGAAAAGGGTGGATAAACTCCAGCGGAGCTCCCACAGGTGGCAATGGCACCAGGAGTCAGGGGCAGTGATGATAAGCGTGTGTCCTTTCCGAGTCTCCCATAACCCGATTAGCTCGTATCAGCGGTCGCCAACCTTTCGGACCTTGCGGGACAGGCACCGTGAGGGACAGGCACCGTGACTGGAGTGCCTGGGGGCCGGGGTGGTGCCAGCTGGACTTGATGGCACCAGTGCCCTTACCCTTCAGGGACGCTCGGGCACCAGTGAAGTTGCACTTGATGGCACCAGTGCCCTTAACCTTCAGGGACGCTCGGGCACCAGTGAAGTTGCAGAAGGCCACGCGCGATAACTCCAAGGACTCTGACTACTGGAAGGCCCTGGCCACGGTGATCCCTCGCTCCAGGCAGAACCTCTGGGACGGTCTATACGCAGCCCTGGAGAAATACCAGTGAGTGTGTGCGTCGTGGCCCCGGAAGGGAGCTGGCAGGCAGTGGGGAAGGATCCTTCGTGGAGTGCCCCGTGTGCCGCCTCCCTGTCCATGAACTCTTGGGGAGGAGCTGCCTGGGGCAACTGCTGTGAGGGGTGGGGGGCAGTGCTGGTGACTGGCCCTCTGGCCCTGCTCCCCCTGTCCTGTTCCCGCCAGCCCCGCTCTTCCGGGCAGGAGGGCTGCTCAGGTGGGTGCGGCTCCTGGGGTCCTCTCCCACCTCTCGCTGAGCAGAAACAGGGATCCTTGGCAGAGGATGGAGGAGGCCATGGGTGTCTCACAGATTTTTCTGCCCAAAGCCTGGTCCTGATGCGGAGGGCGGAGCTGCTGCTGGAGTGCAACACGCTGGAGCAGCAGAACACGGAGCTGCAGCAGCTGCTGCAGAAGTACCTGGGCTCCAAGGTGGGCGGGGCCCTGGGGTGAGGGCAGGAGGCGGGGTGGGAGCAGAGGGGGGGATGCGCCCTGGGGCTGATATTAAGACATGAAGAGCCCCCTCCCCGAGTGAGGCAAGCAGGCTTTGAGACGCTGGTTGTCAGGCGCCTGCTGACCATGACAGTGTGGTTTGGGCGCCAGCTGCTCCTTGCACCCTCTCAGGAGCAGTGCAGGGCCCTGAGGTGTCAGCTCCCTGAGCCCTTCCAGGCGAGGTTCCTACTTCGGTCCTCACCACCGTCTGTGGGAAGAGGAGACAGAATGCTTCTCCCCCTTTCATGACAAGGAGACTGGTGACTTCCCAGAGCAGGGCCTCTCCCCGCTCTGCAGCCCAGGTCGTCTGGCCTGGGACGTGCCGTGGGCAGAGGAGGCTCCAACTGGGGCAGATGTCCCCTGGCCCCCATGTGTGCCCACTCCCGCGAGAGTCGGGCAACAAGGCCTGACAAGAGGGGGGATCTCACTGTCTCTGCTCCCTCTGGTTCGCAACACAGTTCGTTGCTGGCTCTGACTTGTGGTGCAGGCTGCACCTGAACAGGGGACATGGTCAGCTTGGGTGTCATGATGACCCCTTGACCGTGACAGGATTAAGACATTAGGGGACCATGTGGTCCACCCTTCCGTCGATGCTCCTGTGTGGAAGAGGACGGGGAGGAGGTGGGGAAGTGCAGGGCTAGACTGGGGATGGGGTGGCAGGCGGTGAGGGGAGAGAATTTAAGACAGTGGTTCTCAACCTTCTGGCCCTTTAAATACAGTTCCTCATGTTGTGACCCAACCATAAAATTATTCTCGTTGCTACTTCATAACTGTAATGTTACTACTGCTATGAATCGTAATATAAATATCTGATATGCAGGATGGTCTTAGGCGACTCCTGTGAAAGGGTCATTCGACCGCCAAAGGGGTCGCGACCCACAGGTTGAGAACCGCTGATTTAAGAGGATGGCTCAGAGTGGGAGGTTAAGGACATCCCCCTCCCCCGAGGTGAGCAGCTGGAGCAGAAGCCCAGCAAGAAGCCCTGGAACTTGGCTTCTGAAGGAAGGCAGCTGTGGGCTTCCCCAGACATCCGGGAGCATTCGGGGAGGGGAGGCATGCGGAGATGCAGAGGCCTGTGGGAGACCCCCAGAGGCCATGCAGGGGCCCCCCGGGAAAACGGGGTGACCTCCACACCCTCTCTTCCAGATAAACTCGGAACTGCAAGTTCCTCCGACGCAGGTGCTGCCGATCTCCACAAAGTCCAACTAGGCCCGAAAGGGCGCTGTCAGCGGGCACCTGTGCGGGCGCTGGTGCCGGAGCCGCACACGTGCCCGGGCGCTGCGGGGCGCACTCTGCCTTCCCCAGAGCTGCCACTGCACGGTGACACGAGGACTTACCTGTATCCCACAGTCATGATTAAAGTCTTTAGAACGTTGTGGCTGGATCTTTTTAAAGAGGTCAGGTCCGGGAGACCGGCCCTACCCCCACCTCTGTGTCCCGAGGGGGCTTTGTCCCGGCCTCAGATTGTGGCATGAGAGCAGGGACGTTGCTGGGAGATGCAGCCCAGGCCGGTGGCACGGGGCTCCCTTGTTGTTTGGGGGGGCAGTTGGTGTCTATCTGTGGAAGCTGGAGCTTTTGGGCAGCTTGTAGGATCCTCAGGTTTCACTCTGTCCTTGGGCCTGCAGGACCCGTTGGTTGAGCTTTTGGGGCCCCCGGTGCCCCCTGGGCTGTGGTGTGAGGCTCCTTCCGTGGGCAGCCTGGGCAGGTGGCCCTGTGCCTTAGGCCTGCCTTGAACCCCGGGCCACGAGGCCACCCACAGGGAAAGCCAGAGGGGCCGGCTGGTACCGAGTTCGCCAACCTCCGAGTGCCCACCGACCCTGCGCCCCACTCCCGACCCCCCACTTGAGCAGACTCGTCAGCTCCGTGTTGGATTTCTTTTATTAAGAGAAAAATCACCACTCAAGAAAGGAAAGACAGCCAAGTGAAACCCAGCTCACACAGGCAGGGCAGCACTTCCAGTACAAAGGCCCGCTGCCGCTGGAGGGCCTGGAGGGGCCCGCTGGGCAGGGCGGGGAGGGCACTGGCCTGGCAGAGGAAGTTCTGGGCATGGATAAAACCTCACAGCTGGGCAAGGGGGGTGGGTAAACGGCTGCCCCGGCAGGAGGAGGAGCCACCCCCAGGGTTAGTCGGAAGGTCTGCCCACTCGTGTAGGATAAAGACTGGTGGTGCCACTGCCCTCACAGGCTATGTCGGGGGGGGGAGCGGGGGGTGATGCTTTTTGCTCATAATTTTAGAAAGCCCTGTGCACTGGCCCATGCATGATTCTCGGATAATTTCATTAAAGCTTTAGTCCTTGACTGGAAGGCCTGAGGGAGGGTTTGGGGTGGCTTCCTCTGGAGCTAGGGCCTGAAGAAGGGGGGTGCCTCGGCCAGGTGGGGCAGACCCCCCACCCACAGGCAGGGACCAGAGGGGCAGGGCCCCGCGAGCAGCTGGCTTGGGGAGGAGAGGATGTGCAGGGGGGCCCCCGGGACCCGAGGCCTGGAGGGTGGACAGGGGCTCCCAAGGCTCCCCAGGGAGTCTGGAAAGCCCACGCCAGGGGAGGGGCAAACGCACAGGCCCAGGAGGGGCGCCCCGGGGAGGCTGCGGGGACCTCACGCCCCCAGGAGCTTCTTGACCATGTAGCCGGGGAGGCTGTAGAGGAAGAGGCCCAGCATGAGCAGCGCCAGCAGCGCCAGCACGATCTTGATGATGAGCCACTTGTACCGCGTGCAGATGAGGTACTTGATGGACTTGAGGGGGTTGAGGAACCAGACGAAGGCGGTGTCGGGCCGGCTGGGGGAGGGGAGCTGCGGTCAGACGGGGCATCTCCCGGGGTACCCATCCCTCAGCCCTTCTAGACCCCAAGAGACCCTGCCATGGCCCCAAAAGGCGTTGAGTGCTGGAGACAGGGTCGGAGCCATTGCTAAGCACCGGGTTCGCTGCCTACATTCCCGTTGGCAGGACCCTAGGCGTCCCCTCCTCCTCCCAAGGCCTAGCTGGCACTTCTGGGTTTGGGCAGCCCCGAGCCTCCACCTGGACACCAGCAGCCATGGCAGCTCGCTACCCAAAGGGGCAGCCGCAGCCCCACGGGCAGTCCTGGGTTTAGGGAGCGCCTCTACTTGGCAGGTCACTGTACAGGGACCCCTGTCCTCTCTCCGTGAGACCAGTGTTTCTCAACCTCTCCCCCCTCCTGAGGATCAAGCTTCTGTTCAGGGTCCGAGGAGCCCCAGGGGGGCGCCTGCCACCCTCACCGACCTGCTGGTCGCTGCTCTACCTCCCAAGGGGCCTCCTAGCCCAGAAGTGCTCATTAAGCTTTACATTCTGTTGTTTGTGTTACAAAGCAAGAGGTTTTACGGAATGTCATGATATAAAGTTAAAGTGTGAATGTGCTTTTCAAACTCCTGCCTGCCGGTGCCTGGAGGATGCAGATGGCACTCCTAGTGCTGTGCTCAGCACGAGTGGGGTTGGGGGGGGCTGCAGAGCGGGGCGCGGGCGCAGGGCACCTGGTTTCCAGTCCCAGCTGGGACAGGCACGTTAGCGCCTCTTTGAGCCTCAGCTCCTCACTTGCACGATGGGTTAGCAGTGGACTCTGCTCCAGGGTTGGTGGAAGGGGAAGTGAGTCAGTGACGGTGCCTGGCGCCGAGCCGTGCTCAGCAGATGTTGGCTACTAAGATGTTGGCCTTGGATGGAGCTGCTTATCGTCCCGCAGGGTGGAACACGGCTGGGGGTTGGCAGCTGGGTGATGCAGGAGCTATCCAGGACTCGCTGGCCAGGGCTAGCCCAAACCTTCCCCTCTCCCTGTCCACATCTCAGCCTCTCCCTGCCAATGCAATAGGGTTAGTCTGTCAGGAACGTCACTGGGAGAGGAGGTGGCAAAGTTTGAGGAATGCTGGGTTGGCAACTTGGAAACCTGGGCTGAGTCCTAGCTCTACCCCAGTTTGCTAGGGGACGCTGGGCAAGTTATCTCACCTCTGAGGCCCAATATGTAATTATGTAAAATAGTCATTTCCAGTTCTGAGAGCCCATGAAAGCGTTTGAAAGTTCCTGTGTGTGTTCACATGTGTGCACAATTGTGTGTGTGTGTGTGCTGTGTGTGAGCTGTGTGTGTTCCACATGCTGTCAAGCTCCTGAGCCCCAGGTCCAGAGGAAGGGGGAGGAGTACCAGCCCCAGAGGATGCCGGGCTCAGGCCCCCAGGATCTTCTTGACCAGGTAGCCAGGCACAGAGTAGAGGAAAAGGGTGAGGAGGAGGAGCAGCAGCGTGAGCAGCAGCAGCTTGAGCAGCAGCCAGCGGTACGTGTGCCACAAGAAGTAGCGGGCAGACTTGAGAGGGTTCAAGAACCAGATGAAGCTCGTGTCGGGCCGGCTGGAGCAGAGGAGGAGCAGAGGGAGCACCGAGAAAGGACACACAGGGTGAAGGCTCAGAGTGGCAGGGGGCCGGGCCAAGAGGGGGCCCGGCCAAGAGGGGGCCACCCTGGGCTGAGGAGTTCCCAGGAAGAGAGAAAAGGGTAGAGGTGCCTGCAGAGTGGGGGCAAGAAGACCCAAAGGTTCTGGCCCTTCGTTCCTGGTGCAGTGCCCCCAGGGACCAGCGTGGCCGGGCCTCCGGGCGGGCAGGGCACTCACTTGGGTTTCTCTAGGGGGTCAGGTTCGTTGCGGGCAATGCCCACTGGATTCTTTTCCGCCTCCTCCGCTGTCAGTAGATGCAACTCTGCCTCCACCTTGCCCTGCAGACAGAACAGAGCTGTCCTAGTGCCTGGGCCAGGCGCCGGCCCTCAGCACCGGCTCAGCCCTGCCCTCCGCCCGAGCAGGGGGTGGTGCCCACCGTGAGCTCAAACTCGTCATTCTCATCGCGGGCCAGGAGGGGCCACCAGCCTTTGACACGCTTCTGCTTGAAGATGGAGACCAGGGGCACGTCCACCTCGCCCGTGGCCATCTCCATGGTGCACTGCTTGGCCGTCTTCGCGCCCCGGGGGAACCGGTTCAGGTCCAGCTCGATGGCCCCTGTGGCAATCTCAGCGTCAGCACGGACGGACGGACGGACTGGTGGGAAGGACCCCCCCAGGGTGGTGGGTTCTCCCTGCCCCTTCCTCCCCCTCCCCCGCCCTCTCTGTCCCCGGTCCCAGTCCCTAAGCCCCGCCCAGCCCTGCACCCAGGAAGTCGTCCGCGGAGAAGTGGTCAGCGTCCCAGATCTGCAGGGTGAGCCGTGCTGGGATCTTGTATTCGGTCTCATCCCAGGAGAACATGGACTCCTTCTTGGAGATGACGATCTTTTCCTCGGCAGCCAGGTAGTCGAAGGGGAAGAGGTAGCGCCAGTTGAAGTTGCCCTCGCCCGTCAGCGAGTGGTAGTGGACGTCCGTGTCCTGCTTGTCCTCCTGCTGGCCCTTCAGCCACCTGCAGGGAGCCACCTGCTCAGACCTGCAGCCACCCCACCCCATGCTCCCCCCCACGCTGCCCCACAAACCTGGGGATCCAGCATCTCTCCTTCCCCTCCACTCTCTCAGCCCCTCCCATCCCACAGCTCCCTCCGTCCTGGCCCTCCGCCCCGACGCGCGCGGAAGGGGGATGACTCTGTCCAGCCAGCCAGGGCCTTCACCCACCCCCGCACAAAAATGTCGCTGGACTTCTCCCCAGTGAAGAAGTCGTCGTCCTCCAGGACCACCTCATCCGTGTTCCACACGATGACCCGCAGCTCATACCTGGTGGGGAGAGGGGATTAGCAGTCGGCGGAGGGGGGGATGGGGGGGAGGTTACCCCAGGATCTCAGGGCTGGGATGGGCAGGGGGCTGGAGCTGAGCTGACAGAAGTCCCGGGGACTTGGGCTGAGCACGGGGCCTGGACAGTTGGAGCTGAGAGAGTAGAGGAAAAGGAGAGATGTGGGTCCCCAGGTGTGAGAGAGCCAGCCAGTCAGTACAGCTGCTGTGAGCAGAGCCCCAGGGGAAGCCAGTCCGGCTGGACCACCGGGACCCCAGCACCCTCCTGGGCAGGGAGGTGGCTCAGGGCAGGGAGGTGGCTCTGGGCAGGGAGGTGGCTCAGGGCAGGGAGGTGGCTCAGGGCAGGGTGGTGGCTCAGGGCAGGGAGGTGGCTCAGGGCAGGGTGGTGGCTCAGGGCAGGGAGGTGGCTCAGGGCAGGGAGGGGCAGGGCCGGCTGCTGGGGGCGGCTGAAGAGAGGCCCAGAGAGTCAGGAGCAAGGTCCTTGTCTCAGGGGCTGGAAGCTCATTCCAGTTCTCATAGAAACTCAAGTCCAGCAGCCGGCAGCGGACGCCCTGGAACCCAGTCTCCTTTCTGTCCTTGTGCCCAGAGAGGATTTTCCCTTTGAAGTGTAATTGTCATTACGAATGAGGAAGTTACATTTCAACGTCTAGGAGGGAGGCTGAGTCACCCACTAACAATTGATTGGAAGGTGGTTCCTGGAGTTACTAACAATTGATTGGAAGGTGGTTCCTGGAGTTATGCCCTGGACACCATAGGTTGGGGTGTCCCCTTGTGGTAGGTCCTGGAATACCACACTGTGGCCCCCGAGGGGGAGGCTATTTCCAGCAGAATTGTCTGCATAATTTGACTGCCCAGAGCAAAATGGAAATACGAGGCTCCTTGTTAAAAAAATCATCAAGAATCTCAAGATGATCGGGTTGGAGCAAGGGTGGGGCGTCTCTGAGCTTGAGCCCCTGTGCGAATCCACGAAGCTGGCCCTGGTGCCAGGCCCGAGGACATCCCAGCTGCCAGGGGACTAGATCCTGCCATTGTCCAGATGGGAACACTGAGGACCAGGGAGGCAAAGGGACTTGGCCAGGGTCAGCCAGGAGAGGCAGCGGGCTTGGCTCCCTGCCCAGTGCTCTTTCCACTCGACCCTCCTCCTGCTTCTTCCGGGCACTGGCTCCTGCTCATCTTGGCAGGTGCTTCAGCTAAACCCGGGCAGAGCTTACTGACAGCCTGGTGCGGGGCCGTCCCAGAGCAGAGCAGGCTCTCGGGGTCCCTGGCTTGTGTGCCACTGTGTATCGAGTGAGGGAGCCCGCATTTTGGTGCGAGTCCACGAGAGGGCGCTAACGTGTGCTCATGGCCACGGGCAGGCCTCACCACTCTCCGGATGGGTGGGTGAGTTCCCACCACAAGGCCACATGGGGAATGCCAACCGGCCCAGGTGATCTGGGCTGTGGGGGGAGTGGCGAGGGCTGGAGACGGGAAGACTGGCGCTGGGCCCCAGCAGCTCACTTCTTGGGCTTCCGCGGGGAGATGTCCAGAGGCGTCCCGGGGGCCGGCATGTCCATGGGGAACATGTCCACCCACAGCTCCAGGCGGCCCTGAGGAAGAGGGGCGTGCCAGGTCTCCCCAAGACTCCGCCTCTGCTCTCCTCCCCCTCCCGACCTTTGTTCTGTCAGGACCCATTTCGTCAATTTCCATCCTTGGATGGCAGGAATGCCTATGACGTCATCAATAGCCAATCACAGCTTCTGAGGGAGACCCCCAGGTTTCCACCAGAGCTGATGTGGGCTCACTCAAGGCAAAGATGTGCCGCTGGAGTTACCGTGAAGGGCCCGGTGGGGAGCTGCCACCAGGCTTTGGGAATGCAGCCAATGGCACGAGCATCCGTTTTTACGGACCCAGGTTGGGATTCCCCGACCCCAACACCAGAGAACCTCAGGGGCGTCACCTGCTCGATTCCCGGCTTGTCAGGGTTGAGCAGCGGCCGCGTCTCCACGTGCTCCGGCACCAGACGGCAGCCCACCCGGGGGATGTCCTCCCAGTGCTGCAGGGCGCACAGCGCCACGTGCTCATCCGTGGGCCCCCTCTGACCTGTGGATGCCAGCGGGTCAGCTGCACATATGGGCTCAGCAGAACAAGACCTGTGCTGGGCCAGGGACTTAGGCACAAAGAGGCCCCCGAGCCCGCCCTGGGTTCACACATCTCCGTGGTACTGTTGGGGAAACTGAGGCACGGAGGGAGAAGCAGCTTGCCCAAGCTCTCGGCTGTCCCACAGGGCCCAGAGGTCTGTGTCCTTGGGTTCTCTCGGCCTGGGGAACTTGACCAGAGACTCCTGAGGGGGGGTGTGATGTCAGGGAGGGCAATGCCCAGCATCCGGAAGGCGGTCAGCACGAGGTCCCCGCACAGCTCTGCCTGATTTCTCTGGGAAGGGCCACGTGGGCGAAGGAGCGAGGAGCGGGCAGGGCTTGCAGCCACGTGACCTTGGACGGGTCACTAACCACTTTGGGTCTCAGGTTCCTCATCTATTGAATGGGGAGACCCTCCCTCGCCCAGGATGCCGAGAAGGAGAGAGAAGGCGAGGAGCAGGCAAGCGCTGTGCAGCATGGGGAGACTGGACAGAGGTGGGCAGACAGGAGAGGGACTCGCGGCCGAGGAGACCCCAGGCCGGGCCTCCGGGTTCCATCAAGGGAAGTGCGGGTCCCTCCTTGGCCCCTGCCCCCCTGTGGCTGCACCCAGCCCCCGTTACCGTTCTCGTCCTCCATCTCGGAGGGCCCGGTGAAGACGCGGTTGGACACCTTCACCCTCCCGGGGGGCCCGAAGTGGGGGCCGTCCACTTTGCCCTCCTTGCACAGGCGGGTCAGGATCTGGCTGGGCTTCATGGGGTCCCGCCAGATATTGTAGCCGTGTCTGTGGGAGGGCACACAGGCTCGTGGGGCTCCGGGGGGCTGGGCCACTCCCAGGTGGCAGCTGGTTATGGCCAGTTCTCTAAAGTTGTCTGTTGCCCTAGTGCAGCGGTTCTCAACCTGTGGGTCGCAACCCCTTTGGCGGTCGAACGACTCTTTCACAGGGGTCGCCTAAGACCATCCTGCATATCAGATATTTACATTTCGATTCATAACAGGAGCAACATTACAGTTATGAAGTAGCAACGAAAATAATTTTATGGTTGGGTCACAACATGAGGAACTGTATTTAAAGGGCCAGAAGGTTAAGAACCACTGCCTTAGTGGGTCCTGCCCTGGGTTCCAGGCTCAGCTGAGGTGCTGGGGCAGCTGGAGGCTGATCCCTCCTGCCCTGGGCTCTGGCCCCAGGTGCCCAGTGTCCCAGTCTCCCATCTCCCTCCCTGGGGCCCACTTCTCTGAAACCTCAAAGACTCCCATGAGGACACGCATAACCAGAGAGGTCAAGGGATGTAACCAGGGTCACACAGCCTGTCATTGGCAGAGACCAGCCAGATCCCCGGCAAAGGCCACAGTGCCACCTCTCCCTACCCTCCTTGCCCTGCCTCCTCTGTCCTGGAAGCCCCGTGGCTCTCTCCTTGTCTTAGACTCTGTCCTGGCCGCGGAAGGCTGTGCCCGGAGCCTGCAGGGGTTCAGGCCCGGCCTGGAACAGAACCTGTGCTATGTCCAGCTTCCCAAGCCCCCTGCTCTGAAGCGTATTTTCAGAGTCAGGGTACAGCAGGTGGGCCCCGCCCGCCCCGCCCGCCCCACCTACATGGAGTAGGTCTGGGCGATGCCGCAGGTGGCGCGGTGCTTGCTGTAGAAGCGATTCTCCAGGTCAATCTTGGTTTCCCCAATGAGGTCATCGGTGCCGACCAGGTCCCAGTCGTACACGGACACCGTCAGCATGGATTCCATGGGGAAGGACGCCTCGATGTCGAAGGACCTGGCAGGGCGGAGGTTGGGGGAAGGGTTGAGGGTGAGGGAGGGTGGGAGGGGGTCTGGGCTGGAGAAGTTGGGGTGGGAGGAAGGGGCCCCCAGGAGGCCTTACTTCCCAAAGACAGGGTTGAGCTGCTTGGAGATGTAGTTCTCCTTGTCCCGGATGTCAGTCTTGCCCAGCCGGATGGCGATGTAGGGGTCAGCTTTGCCGTTGATGTCTGCCGGGTGCAGGTCTGTGGCCTGAGGTGGGAGGCGTGCTCCTGAGCAGGCTCCCACACCCTCCTCATCTTCCAGTGCCCCCGCCCTGCTCCCTGAGAGTCCCTGATGGTGACGGGCAGGACCACTGGACCGGGGGCAGGAGGCTTGCTGTGTGCCCTCCAGCCTCAGCTTCCTCATCTATAAGAGATGGGAACTAGCCCTAGCTGGCTTGGTTCAGCGGACAGAGCATCGGCCTGCAGACTGTAGGGTCCAGCGTTTGATTCCAGTCAAGGGCACGTACCTCAGTTGCAGGCTCAATCCTGGCCCCTGCGTATAGGAGGCAACCAATCCATGTGTCTCTCTCACATCGATGTTTCTTTCTCTGTTTCTCCCCCTCCCTTCTACTCTCTCTAAAAAGCAATGGAAAAATATCCTTGGGTGAGGATTAACAAAAAAATAAAAAATAAAATAATAATTAGAAAAAGATGGGAACTAGACCAGATGACCTTCAGGTGCCTCCCAGGCAGGGGCTGTCAGTTTGCAGCTGCTTCAACCCTCCTGGGCAGGGGGACTGGGCGACGGGGGAGGGGGCGATGGGGAAGGCTCACCCGGACCACATAGACTCGGACCAGCACGTTGATAGGGTCGTTGCTGGGGATGCCCTGGAACATGCCGTAGGTGGGGTCGTATCCGGCTTCCCGGGACACATCCTCTGGGAGCGGCACTTTGTACATGCAGAGAGAGCCCTGGGCAAGGCAAGCGTGGGTCAGGGTGCGGGTTTCTATGAGCACAGGCGGGGGTGGCACCCTGTGGGGGCAGGGCCTTAACTCTTTGGTTGCTGGATCATGGGGGGACCAGGGGGTCTGGAGGAAGTGGCCAGGGCAGTGGCAGGGAGGGGGATAAAGTAAGCAACTTGGGGAGGCCCTTGGGGCAGATGCTCGTTATCAGTTAGCACAGAAGTCTTTTCATATTTTACCAACCAGTGCCGCTGACAGTTCCACGTGACTGTCAGCCTTGAGCTCAGGCTGGTGTGGTGGGAGGGGTGGCAGGGGGCTCAGGGTTCAGGGCCTGGGGCTCCTCGCCTGACCTTGAACCGGCCGACGATGCGCTCCTCCTCGGTGGAGCCATCTTCGTCATCGCCCGTCTTGCCTCGAAGCAGGTTGAAGGTGTGCAGCCAGTCCTCGAAGTGGTCGAACTCCGCCTCCAGCTCCTTGGGGTACACCTGAGCCAGGCTGAGCCGTCAGGGGGACGAGGCCTGTCCACCTGCCTCCCTCTTGTCCCATCTGCCACCTCCTGCCCTCAGGGGTGACCCCGCACCCCTGGGAGGGTCTGCCCCACACCCTCACCTTGAGCTCGTCAATCTTGGATTTCTTCTTCTCGGGGGCCTCAGGCCCCTGGCCAGGCCCGGTTCTCTTCTCTTCTCCTCCTTGGCAGCCTTTGCCTTCTCCTTGCCCTTCATCGGGCCCTTCAGGCCTGGCCGGAAACAGAGAAGGAGGCCTGCTCAGTTCGGGGCAGAAACGATGGAGCAGGAAGGCCTGGGTGGAGATCCAGCTCACTACTAATTTACTTAGTAATTTCACTTGGCCAGTCTCCGTGTACTCATCTGTGAAATGTAGACAGTACTCCCTGGCATGCCCGCCTCATGCGGGGGCGGGTGCCAGTAAGGTCACCCAGGGAGTGTGTACAAAGACTGCTGTCATGCCCTTTGACAGAGCAGGGCATGGGAGGTGCTCGCTTTCCTCTCTGGAACTCAGTCTGCTCGTCTGTAACATGAGGGTTGTTGCACATCAGCATTTCCCAAAGTGCATTCAGGGGAACACCAGGTGTAGGTGTTCTTGTAAGGCTTTTGGAAGAAGGGCAGCATGGTCAGATGTGTTGGGGAAATATTTCATATCTTCCTTTTAGAGATTTATGGTAATGTTTGTACATTAAAGGCACTGAGAAGTCCTGCACCAAAAGACTTACTTTTCACATTGAACCACAGAACTCTCTTTTCCCTGCGGAATGTCCATTAACACTGTTCCGTGGAAAAGTCTGGAAAATGCTGGGAAAGAGGAGCTCTGAGGTCCCTTCCAGCTCGTAGGTTCTGTGGCTCTAAGTGTCTGTCCATCACTGTGGTTGCTGAACCGGTCAGAGTGAAAGCCACGCTGGATCAGCCCAGGCCTGCTTGCCAGAGCCAGGGATGCCTGATGACAGCTGCCCTTGGCTGCTGGAGCCGTGTGGGCCCGTGGGCGGGAGCAAGAGGTGCAGTGGGCAGGGGAGCCAGCCATCTGGGGGCGAGAGAGGGCGGGGGGAGGGGGGGCCCAGGCAGAGATCTAGGGTTCCAGGGCTCACCCTCAATGTTGTCCATCTCCTCTTTCTCCTCCGAGTCCATTCCTGAGGCATCTTGCTGTCGAAGTTGCTGCCAAAAGATGAGGTGAGGAGGAGGGAAGGTGGGCTTCTTGGGGAGGGTCTGCTGACCCCCCCCACTGCCGTCTCAGACCAGTCTGAAGTGCACTAGACACAGAAACTCCTTCCTACTGGGTTACAAACCCATCGCGTGCTCTGCTTACGTGGATTAAACCAATGTATGATGTGGACGCTATGACCAACTGTACTTAGGGGTTTATGATTCTTTAAATTGTGCCTCATTAAGAAGATAGTGTCCTTTAATGTTGCCTGTTATGTTATTATATTGTAATGTAGGAAGTACAACTGAGTGAGAAAGTCTGCTTTATTTCCCGCACTCAGTTCACCCCACCCACTGGAGACGCAACCACTAGGTTTCAACCAAAGCCCACCGTCACATGGCGGCAGCCTGTGCGTTCAGACAAGGAGACCGCCCTGGATCCAGGAGGTGACGGGGGAGGAGATCTTGCTGTGTCCCCCAGTTATCTGCTTTCCTGTTCTTGACGAGTTTTTCTCGGCACACAGCCAATTTAGCTTCCCTGGTAGCTGTGTGGCCATGGGACTAGACCAGCGGTTCTCAACCTGTGGGTCGCGACCCCTTTGGGAGTCGAACGACCCTTTCATAGGGGTTGCCTAAGACCATCGGAAAACACATATATAATTACATATTGTTTACAGTAGCAAAATTACAGTTATGAAGTAGCAACAAAAATAATTTTATGGTTGGGGTCACCACAACATGAGAAACTGTATTAAAGGGTCGCGGCATTAGGAAGGTTGAGAACCACTGGACTAGACTCTGGCCCATACGTGCAATTTCTGAGTTGAGCCCTTAAAGGAAAGGAGTATGACTCCTCTTCCCCCCTTTACCCCCTCCTGGGCACGGCTATTAGGACATGAGGGCAAGCCCCCTCTAACTGTACACATGCAGGAAGCAGGTGGTAGGATCTTGGTCCTTGACACAGCCGCGTCACCGTGCCACCCTTTCCTCGCTCACACGGATCTAGCTCCCTGCAGCTTAGCCTGCGCTCTCACTAATGGGGATGTGAGCATCACACACAGCGGGGGCCACAGCAGGCGCCTGGGGAGGCAGTGTGGTTGGACCAGCGCCGCTGAGGAAACACGACTGCAGGCACACGTCCCGCCTGGTCAGCCAGCCAGTCAGGAGCGCCCTGAGCTAGGAAGACAGCGCGGAGACGAAACCGCGGAAGAAGAGGAGGGATGCGCTTTCTGGAACTTGCCGCCTGGCTCAGCAGACGGAACCCATGTGCACACAACAGGGGAAGAGCGTGCCGCCGCCCCGGTGACGGAGATGAGTCAAAACAGTGTGAAGGTGGGCGAGTGCTTGAGAAGCTGTTTCTGTTTGACCCCTGAGCACGTCTCCTCTTCCTCACTTGTCACCTCCTCTGGGAAGCCTCCCCGGACCCCTGCAGGCACTGACTTGCTTTAGTCACCACACTGCACTGTGTCTGTTCACATGTCCATTTCGCCCGGCAAGCAGAGGGCTCCTCGGGGCAGGGGTGGCGTCTTATCTTTTGGCTCCCACAGCATCTGGGATGGTGTCTGACCCTTATACATTCCAGAGACGTTTGTGAAATAAATGGATGAGGATGAGAGAAAGGCAAGCCAGGGAAGGTGAGTCCTGAGCTAGAACTTCAAGGCTGTTCCAAGCTCATGAGAATGGGGTGGAGGAGCCAGCTCTGGTGGGAGCAGGAAAGAAGTTGGGCAGGAGGGCCTGATGTGGGGTTGGGGTCACCTCTCCAATTCCCCCTTAGCCCCTAGCCCAGGCCCAGGCCTCACCTCCTTCATGGTGTCGATGGAGGCGAAGTACTTGGACCACCAGTCCAGCATGCTCTCATCCGGCTCCTCCTCCTCCGGCTCGTCCGAGCTGCCCTTCTTCTTCTTTTTCTTCTTCTCCTTCTCCTCGTCAGCCTGGTGGATAGGCCAGGTCCAGAGTCCTGCATGCATCCCTGCGCCCTGGCCATGCCCTGAACAACCAGGGGTCCCCCATCTGTTCTGACCACTGCTCCCGGAAAGCCCCAGGCTCCCCGAGGCTCTGTGGGGCCACCAATATCAGAGGAGCAGGGCTTTGTTTTGTGGAGGAGGATGCCATGACTGGAGAGGTCATGACCTGCCAACATGAGCCACTGGCCAAAGCAGGAGTGGCACTCAGGGGCCCCGCTGCCCAAGCAGCTCTCTCCCTCGGCCTCTTTGGAGGGTGTGCAGGTGTGAGCTGGGGGTAGCTCGGTGCCTGATGCTAGGCCCAGTGTAGGGTCCTCTTTCCCCAGAACCTCCCCCTCCCTGGTCCCCTCACTCACCACATCCACCTTGATGACGGCATCAGAAGTCTGCAAAAGGGAACCAAAGACACGGGGACAGAATTAGCGCCCCGGGGCCTGGAGTGGAGGCAGCCGCCCAGCCAGGGAGCGTGAGGAGAGGGAGCTCATGCAGGGACGCTGGAGTCCCTGTGCCCTCAGGGTTAGCTCTGCACTGCAGGCACACCGCTGCTGAGCCTGCAAAAGGCCTGCTTTGCAGAGGTTCCCCAGACCCACAGGGTGGTGGTTCTCAACCCCGAGAGAGCTGTGGACTCCCCAGATGATTTCAGTGCGAGGTCAGGGTCGGGAGGGGGCGCTGGCCGCATGCAGGAGTTCAGTGACGTTGGCTAAATGGAGTCAACTTCAACTCCATTGTTCCCCCCTCACCAGGTCAAGGCCTTAAAAATTAAGTGGATATGCGCACACACAATTGCATAGCCAAAGGGGACACTGGTGAGACACCCCACCAGAGCCCAGGGCCTGTGGGATGAGGGGGACGCTAAGGTACCGTCCTCTGTCTTGTTTGCTGACAGCCTGAAACTAGGGGCTTCCCAGCAGACCCCCAGGAGGACTCGGGAGGCTGGGAGTTGAGGAGTTGGGGATCTCCAGGCGTAGTCCCGGAGCCTGGCTGTGCCACCCCAGGGCTGTGGGCCCGGCACTGAACCTCATCTGCTCCCCTCTCCCAAGAGTCATGCCCACGGCTCACTCAGCCACTGGCCAGGACCCTCTGGGGCCAAGAATCATGAGCCAAGAGAAGGTGGGCCTGACGAGGAGTCGAGCAAGCTCAGACCTCAGAAGCCAGGAGACAGCCCAGGTTGTGTGAGGCAGGCCAGGTTGGAAATGAGATCTGGAGAAAGTGGGGGAGAGGAGGCCCACTTCCAGCCCCTCAGCCCTGTCTGGACGCAGGACGGCCTGCTCCAGGCTGGCCTCCACCCTGCCCTCCCCGGCCCCTGCCGACTCCACATCCAAACCCCAGGCGGCAGGTCGCCCTCTGGCAGACAAATGGCCTGAGTCGTAGGACCAGGAGGAACAAGGAGCTTCCAGCTGGAGATCCTTCCACAACCAAGGTCTGGGGAGAGTTGTCTGTGAATGGCTGGAATGGAGAACCAGGAACCCTTGGGAAAAACCACTGGTGCCCCCACAGGGAATCCATGGCTTACGGTGGTGTTAGTTGGAGTGAGAATAACTGCAGGCTATTACTCCAATGGTGACTGCTCATTGTGTCTCTCATACATGCACACCACACACTCGTGCTCACACACACACACACGCACACACCCAGAGTCTAGGATGGAGCTTTATGCACACACAGTCAGTGTTAGCCCTGGACACGCGGACGGCGGCGGCCTGGCTCACAGGGAGGGTCACATGTAGCTGCCTGCGCCCAGGCGTGTGGCACTGACCCCGTGCGCCTTACCGCGTCCAGCTTCACCATGGTCTCCAGCTTCTTGACGGGCACCTCTGGCTCCATGTTCACCACGATCTCCCCTGCGGGGTGAGAGGAGGGGCCCCCATTGCACAGCACACGGCAGCCCCGGAGGAGTCTTACTGGACAGAGAGATGGACAGACAGGCAGACAGACAGGGAAGAGCAGGAGTAACAGTGAAGGTCAGGCGTGAGCAGAAGGACCAGAGGCCTAAAGCTGATTTTCAAGTAGAGAGGAGGGCAGAGAGATAACTCATGGGCATAAGGAGAGGGAGAAGGTGAGCCTGAGGGAAGGGAGGGCTGCGGGTGAGAGAAATAGTGGAGGCTGGGCTGGGAGGGAGGCTGGGCTGGGAGGGAGGCTGGGAAGGAGGCCTGGGTCTTCTCCCAGAACCAGCCTGGGAAGCCATCTGCCCTCAGGCCCTCTAAGGACATCTCCAGCTCTGGCTCTTTCTGGCCCTAGAATGAGGGGCAGGTCTGGGCAGCTCTGGCTCTCAGGATAGGACCTCCCCACTGGCCTCCTCTATACCCACTTGGGAATGCACTGGAGGAGTGAACTGGTGATTGCGTGGACTGGACCGTGAGCTGGAGCCTCCCTCCCATGGACTGAGTGGAGACAGGCCTGGGTTTTGGGGTGTGGTCATACCGGTGCTGTTCCAGTTGGGGGCTGAATGGTCCGGGGGCCGGTAGATGAAGCGCCGAAGGGAGCTAACGGCGTGGGAGCCCACCAGGGTGTAGCGGCCGAAGGCCCGGCAGTCCACCACGCGGATGTTCAAGGGCGGGTGCAGTAGCTCATTCTCCGGGAGGTCCTGGGGTGTTGGCCAATGGAGCCTGAGCTCAGAGAAGGGGGCAGAGGCTCCTGGCCTTGCCCAGCCACACCAGCCACACCCAGCTCTGCCAGGCTGTGCCCAGGCCTGCACCCACCACTTCAAACCACTTGACCAGGGTGCTGAAGTTGGGGTTCTTCTTGTAATTGTGGATCATGGATGACTGTACCCCCTTCCCCGCACACTCGATGTCCACCCTCGGCCGGTCCACCTGGGCCAGGTTCACCCGCTTCAGGTCCCGCAGGCCCCAGAACAGCACCTGGTGGGGGTCAGGGGAGACGAGAGTCCCCTCAGACAAGGGAGCCAGCTATGGGTGGGCTGGGCCACCTGAGGAGGAGCTGGGCCGTGGAGTGGGCAGTGAGTCAGGAGGGGCAGGGCCAGGAGGGCTGACAGGAGTGGGTGTGGCGGGCAGAGAGGAGGGCTGGGAGAGGCCCAGAACATGGCCGGGCGGCTCAGAACAGACCGGCCAGACCCTGGGCTGGTGGGGGCCTGGGCCTGCCGCTGGCTCCAAGAGTGACCTTGGACAAGTCACTTCCCCTCCTGGTCCCTGTCTCCTTGTCTGAAAAATGAGGTGGCCTGAGGTTGGGGAGACCCCTGGAATATGATGTCAACAGTGTCATATTCGCTTATGACCCTGATGGAGTAAGAGAGTGAGGGAGCAGGAAGAGCGAGCACAGCAGGGCCTGTTCAGGGCAAGGACAGGAGGGATGAGAGGGGTGAGTGGAGCCCTCACGCACCTCGATTCGGTATTTGCTGAGCACGGGCCGGATGCCCACGGGCACGGGCATGATGGGACCTCGATCCGTGTCCACTGGGCCATTGATGGGTGGCAGGTCGGCCTTCCCTGCTGGCCCGATCTGGGGAATTGGGGTCACAGGTCACACCCTGCAGAGCCCAGAGAGTGGGCTCTCCCTTCCCAGGGGTTAGTTGCCATGTGACCTGGGGAGACAGGGGAGGCCCAACACCCCCGGCCCCTAAGAACCACGCTCCCAGCTCCAGTGGGACCGGCCTCTGAGCAGGATGGGGAGCGGAGGCCCACCTGCAGCAGCTCGAAGGCGGCCAGGAGGTCTCCGGCCGTGGCGTTGCCGCGGTAGATCTGGTAGTACTCGAGCTGGGGCGGGAAGCGGGGCGGGCAGTACGCCTCGTCAGCCATCTTCACCACGGGCTTGGCGAAGGTCCGGCCCATGAAGTCGCATTTGCCCTGATGTGACAAACAACCAAGGTGGCCGCTGGTGCTGGAGTTCACTGAGCAGCGTCACGCCTGGGGTCTCACTCTGTCCTTGCCACAGCCCCGGGAGGTCAGGGCAGGTGTGATCACCCCATTTCACCAATGGGACCCCCAGTCTCACCGCAGACTTGCTCACGGCCATGCTGGCAGTGAATGGCAGTCGGGACTCAGGCCTAGAAACGAGGCCCTCCTGCTTCTAGTCTAGGGTTCTCTCAGGGACCCCAGTAGCTGAGTGCTTGTCATAAGTGGCTCCCCAGCTCTGGAGGGATCACCCCGATCTTTCACTCCCCCACTCCAGAGCTCTCACGGAGGGCTGGGAGGCTATTACTGACTGGTAGGTGTGGGCAGGGGGCCGAGGGCCCCTCGGGGTGGGGGGAGGGTGGGGACAGCAGGACTGCTGACGCCTGTTCTGCAGGCTGGGCCTGAGCTCAGTCTGCCTGTGCCGGGAGGTGGGGACACCCTGACCCATCTTCGCCCTGAGACCCAGAGGCCCACAGTGGTGGGTAGGGGTCAGGCTGCAGTGACAGGGCAGGAGCCACCTGGAGGCTGGTCAGCATCCCAGACTCCCACGCTCCCAGCAAGCACGTAGCTGAGGGGTCTGGGGAGTGGCCATCGATGCACGTGGAGTGCAGTGAAGAAGGGCCCACCCATACCATGCTGTCCTGGTCGTAGATTTCAATGACAATGATGGGGGGATCATCCCGCAACTCCTGAGCCTCGCCGTACAGCTCCAGGTTGTCGAACACCAGCATCTGGTCCCAGGTGGGGCACAGGGTCTCATTCAGCACCTGCAGCATGGGGCAGGGGGCGGGGGGCGGGGGGAGACAGGTCATACGTGGTGGTGGATGGACAGCTATCCCAGCAGAAGCCACCCCCAGTCACTGTGGCTTCCAGGGGACTCAGGCAGGAGTGTCATGCTCCCCGACGCGTCTGGG